GTTGGTTGAGATGATCCTGTGGGCTTTCCCTCTTTCGTTCTGTTAGTGTGGTGTCTCACCCGGATTGATCTTGAGACCGAACCATCCTTGCATTCCAGGAACTAATTCCACTTGGTCGTGGTGTACCATCTTTTTAACTCACGGGTGCATGCAGTTTCCTGGTATTTTGCTGAGAATTTTGCATCAAGGTTCGTGAGGGTTGTTTTTTTTCGTAGTTCTCTCTTCTTGTCGAGTCTTTGGTTTTGGTTATCAGGGCAATGCTGACTTCAGAGGAAGTGTTAGGAAATGTTCCCTCCTCCTCAACATTTGGGAAGAATTTAAGGATTAGTGTTGATTTTTTCTCTAAATCCATGGTAGAATTCACCAGCAAAGCTTTTCTTTGCTGGGAGGCTTTTGATTACCGATTCAGTCTCTGTAATAGCTGCAGGTCCATGAGATGTCCTCTTTCTTCATAATTCAGCTTTGGTGGGTTGTGTGTGTCCAAGAGTTTGCCCTTTCCATCCAGGCTGTCCAGTGTGTCAGTAAGCAACAAGTGCAGGTCTTATGGCCGTGAACCAGGCAGACACGTCCCTCCGCTGAGGAGCTCATGTGCCAGAGCAGATGACAGAAAATTAATAACAGTGTGGGGGGGTGGGAGAAGTCAGAAAGGAGGTACTAGTTCAGGGTCGGATGTGTGCTTTTGTAACACAGGAAGCCATCTGGTGAATGCCAAGAGAGTTCTAAGAGCAGGCCCTTGGGAGACCTGGACCAAACTGATCTGATCCAGAACCCACTGAAATGAACAGTGACCCATGGGGACTTTGGAAACCTTCTGGGTTTTCCTGATACGTATGAGAGCGCCCCTCCTGTCGAGCATCTCTAGGATGGCCCTGTGATGTTTGGAAGCAGTGCGTTTGTAGACAAAAGCCCCTCAGCCCAGTGACTATCTAATTTACCATCCAAAAGGGCGCTGTTCGTAAAACACCAGAACAGGGCAAACGGGCTACTCTGGGAAAACCAGACCCAGGTGACACTTACGTAACCCACACCTGGGTCGGTCAGGTCTGAAAAGCTGGATCTGCACAAATGCCAGGAGTGGACGTGGCGTGATGAGGCTGGGTGGGTGTGCTGCGGGGCCGCCAGGCTTGCTTCACGTGCTGCTGGCGTCCGCTGGGCACAGTGGGCCACGGCCATCCCAGGCACCACCCTGAAGCGGCCAGCGCTCTGCCTGGGTAATTCCCACGCAGCCCCCAGGGTGTCCCTCCTGGAGTCCCCAAGACATCACCTGCACAGTCCAGCGCACAGCACGGGCTAAAGTGCCTGGTGCAGAGCCTGGCTTGGCCCGTGGGCAGGTCCGTGGGGCCCCTGGCTGTGCTAGGGAAGCTGATGAGAGGAGCAGAGGCCCGGCCAGCAGCAGCCAGAGGCCCTCGTGGCGAGGGCAAAGCAACCTCTGCAAGGCTCACTCCACCAAGTGGGGAGTAAGGAGCAAAGGGAAAGGGCAGTAAATCAGGCATTGTCCAAAGAATTCATGGCAGAATAAGGTCGCAGGAGAAGAGAGCCGCTCCTGAGGGGACCACACTGGGAGAGAGCTGGGGTCCTCGTGCCCGCCCACAGAGGGTGCTGAGAGGGCCCCTGTCAGGAGCCAGGAGGAGACAGATGGCAAGGAGGGGTGTCTGCAATTCCCTTTGTACTTGCAGCTGCTAACACGGATGAGGGCGCAAATGGTGAATTCGTTCTTAAAATGTTTGCCCTGGCCTGGGGTTTTAGATTCAAAAAAGCCAGGATACTAACAATCTGTTGACTGGAACATGGACAAACTGAGGGAACATTACAGTACAAAGGGAAATGTCCACCCTCACAGACAACTGAAGCAATGCAGGTGAAAACCAGAAACCCACTTTCCTGTCCCACTGGCCAAGAGCGGGGCTGGTCAGCGCTCAGAACCAACACACCCTTCCCTCCTCGTCCCTCCCCTTGGCCTTCCTTCCAGTGAGAAGCTAATTCCCCGGCGGGGTGTGTGCGCCCACCCGGAGACTGCTCCTCATCTCCCAAGTGCCAGCAGCACCCAAGAACCCTGTGTGGTGGCTTCTCCCCTCATCAGTGGGTTCTCTCTATCCACTGATGCCTGCCCTGGACCTGAGCCCAACCTTGCTCTGCAGACCACCACTGTCGCCAGCCCCAACGGCCCTCCCTGCCACACGCCCGTGACCCTGTGTTACGTTCCTTGTGTTCTTATCTGATAGGGCCTCATGTGCACACATCTATACTGCACCCTGAAACAGAAGTGCCATGAAGTGGCCCCTGCTGCTGAGTCAGGAACACCCGTACACAGCCACTGTGTGGGGCCTGGGTCGCAGCAGAATGCGGTGGTGCTGGGCGCAGTGCGGGGCACGGTGCTGGGCTCGGTGGTGCTGGGCGCAGCGCGGGGCGCGGTG